TTTAGATACCGCTGAAACCACCAATATTCAGTCAAGAAATTTTTCATTGCATTGTTAGATCTAGCCAAGAACAGTTACTCACCGAGATAGAACAAAAAAGTCATCCAAAATGGGAAATAAGCCTTAAAACTGGCAGCACCTTTTCATTAATTACTCTTATTTTGTTTGGATGGTCTTGACGCCATTTCACATTTTCTGGCTTGACTGAGTAATGATTACAAGGTCCTCATGAAGTTATTAAATGCAGTACATACAGTAGGTTTAGTTTATCCAATGAAACATTATTCGTATTTTTTTTTCTATAATTACAGTTCTATTCAGATAAACAACCTTCACCAGTCTTCTAGTATGGGCTCTGTAATTAGTTTAATATCTCTTACCTATTAAACTAGGGAAACATATAGAAGCCTTCTTCTTCAAGTGTGAATAGGTGAGCATATATAAGAATATTGTCCTCATTTATCTTTGTGTAAACCTCCCAAGAGATCAGAGTTCTCAATTCCTCAGTTTGTATCTCCAAAGTCAGCACTAATGTCCAAAACATTAACATATTTGTATAAAATGTTTTGCAATGGCTTGCATGTTTTATCTACAAATGTTTGGTTAATACATCTTTGGACCTTGAGTTCCAGAGCAGGATGATTTATTAATTTACTTATTTAGTAGATCAATAAAACATTCAAAGGGCAAGTCTATGCTTATCACAGGTGGGCAGTTTGTAGAGATTGACATGATCCTAAGGCTTTCAGTTCTCAAATTTACTTTGTGTTAGCCACAAGTGTATAAGAACTTCAATCTGTGTAATCCCCAAGAGAACTAATTATGTGTTAAGAAGAATGCACATTTTACTATGTGGCATATAACACAGAAAAATTATCATGCATCAGACTTTTGAGAAACAGAAGAACTTTAGGCAAGTAATAGGTATAGCTGTGCATGGGTTTATTCTAAAGTGAATTCCCTTGAAGGCTCATCAAAACTAATGCTTTTTTCTTTTTTTTTTTTTTTCTTTAAATATATCTTCTTCGTAGTTTAGAATTTTGCTTCTGAAAATGCTCTGAATCCAACTATCATATGAAGGTCTTTTACAAAACCTCAAGCTTCAATAAAAAAATATTTTTGTTCCTTTTACTAGCAAAGTTAGGCAAAGGTTAATTTTACAAGAAGTCAACAGCTCTCTACTGCAATGCCAGTGTTCAATGATCCTAAGAGAGACTATCTATTTGGAATATCTTCATGTACAAAATTAGTACAAAATGTCATATGACAGTAACAAATGAGATGAAAACCTGAATTAACGTTGTCCATACTTGTAGTGAGTTGACCTTGTCTGGATGACAGGTGCCCACCAAGCCACTCTATCATTCCTTTGCTCAGCAGGACAGGCAGGGGGGAGAAAATAAGATTAAAAAAACCCCTAGTGTGTCAAGATAAAAGCAGTTTAATAAAGCAAAAGCAAAGGCCACACACATAAACAAAGAAAAACAAAGGATTTATTCCCTACTTCCAATCAGCAGGTAATGTTCCACCACTTCCCAGAAAGCAGGGCTTCAGCATGCACAGTGGTTGCTCCAGAAGAAAAACACTGTAGTAACAAATGCCAGCCCCACCTCCTCCCTTCTCTTAGATTTTTTTGCTGAACAAATGTTATATGGCATGGAATATCCTTTGGTCAGTTTAGGTCAGCTGTCCTGGCTATGTGCTCTCTGAAGATCTTGCTCACTCCCAGCCTAATGAGTCATGTGAGGGAATGTTGGAGTGTCAGCACTGCTCAGCAGTAGCCAAAACACTGGTGTGTTATCAACACCTTTCTAGCAACCAGCACAAAGCACTATGAGGGCTGCTATGGGGAAAATTATCTCCATCTCAGCCAGACCAAATACAATACTTATGTGATCATCACTGCTATAAATAAATATATTTTAAATCTATTACATTTGTGGCTTCAGGAATCAGTACTGCATACCAGTGAATTTCTTAGGCAGTCTTATTCTGTTGTTTTTTGCTTGTATTTTTCATTGATGTGTGTGTAAAGGTGTACCTTTTCCCCACATGGAAGATCTGAATTACAGATCTTAGAAAGATTTGGCTGCTTCCACCAAAAATCTGTGAATGATGTGGAGATGGCACATAAAAGCACAGGTTGGAAGCAGAAATGTATAATATGGTCCATGATACTGGAGCTACATAAAGGAAAAAACACACAAATTTAAAAATAACATGCTTGTCAGAAAATGTTTTAGTGGAAACCAGTTCAGAACAAGAGTGCTTTTTCCTTATCTTACCTACTTTCCACAAGAATATTGACTGCAGCATGGTCAGGTAGTTCATCTTTGATGGTAAAAAACAGTCCTTGAGTTAGAAGCTAATGTGTTGTGAGAGCAGGCACAAACCTGGATATGCTATACAATAGGAAAATGGTCTATGGTTTTGGAAATGAACATGAGGAAGGAGCAAGGAAGGAGGGATCTGAATCTAGCTCTTAGGGTTACAGAAACACTAAAAGGTTTTCATATCATCCAAACATGTTGGAATTCATGTCAAAGTATTTATGTTTCCAGTCTGAAAGGCTACAGTGGTTTTCTCATTCTAGCATATAAAAGTCTATGGCAACCACCAGTCCATCATCTGAGTCTAAGGCCTTCTACAGAATACCATCCTCAGAGGGTCTAGACAAATAATCTCTTTCTATCTCTTTCCCATAAACCCAAGGTTTAGCTGACAGTGTGTTTTCTTTGTATATTTTTAGTGAAGACATGCTCTAGGTTCATGTATTAACTGATATAGCTCAGACTTTCTCGCTAGGGAGTTTTTGATGTACTAAGGAACATTTAATAACAACATGCAGCCTATTTGAATAGGTTTACTTGTGGCTTCAATGTAATGGAAAATGGTAATTCTGATGTTTGTTCTAAAATCAGGATCTGAAAACATGAAAGTTTACTTTGGAAGGGATTCTGAATAAGAGGTTGATATTAAGACCAACAGTATCTGGCTGTACTGAAGAGCTGATGATACAGTTGGTGATGCCTGGAACTGACTTCAAATACAAGGTCTTTAATACAGAGGTAATTCTACCACCTAAAAATGTTCATTCAGAAACCTGGCAAAATTAAATACTTCCTTTCACATACCTTTATCACTTTATCCTTCTGAACATACTAAGTTCATGTTCAAAACAAGAAATTCCTAGGAGTAAAAGAAAGCAGGTCATGCATTCAAGTAGTATGATAATAATTTCCCTGGCCATTTTCTTGGCCTGTAGATTCTTATCTCATTTTCTATCTCTGTCAGGATGGGTGTATAAAGAACAAATGTACCTGTGGCTCATCACAGCCCTCCTCTCTCTTCTGGAACAACTCACTTACAATTTGTCATCAGTCTATGACCCTCTGAAGTCCTAGTGTTTGGAAATGGTGTAACTGAAAAGATCTCAGACCTCTGCAGGAAGTTCCTGCTCAGTCTACAGAAACACAGACCATCATCTTTGTGACGTTCCATCTGGAAGGCATGCCTCTATCTATACCACCTGTCCTAGTAAGCTATGTCTCTTGATAAATAGTAGCTTCATATGTTCAAGGTTTGAACCCAGCTACAGCTGTAGGTAGGTCTACAATAGCCTTAGGGGCACTTTTTCCAACAATTTCCTGGAGTTCAATGTACTCTTCATTAAAGAAGCAAAATGTAAGATCCTTTAATGGAATCTCAGGTATGAACACTGCCCCTGCAAGGTAGGAAACCATTTCCTCTTTTCTTCTGCTACAAAGGCAGCCATGCACCCATTCAAGAGTTTTCATTACAGAAAAATTTTAAAGCCCCTGCATGAGTTCATTGACTCTTTTCTGAGAGCAAAGATAACAACATTTTATTACTTTCTTCTTTTTGATATATATGTAGTTATTAAACAAGTGCCCTCACTTGGGTTTATAAACTTGTCTAATGAGGCTGATCTTTGGCATGCTTACTCCCTACTTCATCAGCAGATACCAGGAATACCCTCCCCTGTGATTCTGCAATTTCTACTCTTACCTTATTCCACTTATACAATACATATTTGAATCAGACCCTTGCTATATCAGTGCAATAAACAAATGCCTTCAGAAAACAACTTAAAATATCCTCTGAATCTTTTGAGGATTAAAAAAAACCTAGTAAAATGACATGTTATTCGTGTTTAACCCCCATAAGTGATTTTGACCTTTCATGGTGGATTTGCTTAAGTGAGCCTGAGTCATATCTCGAGCTGTACATCGTTCTGCAGTTTCACAGTGCGAGGGTTGATGCAAACATTTTCTTCACCTTCAGTGCACACAGATTTCATCTACAGTTTTTTACTGTTGAGTCCCAGATTAAAACCAAAACAAGTGTTTAAAATAAAAATACACAGAACTGAGTTACCCAGGATTCCTGATACCAAGATGTCAATTTTGATGCAAAATCAAACAGCTAAAAATCACTTTTAGCTGAGTCACTGAATATGTAGGCTAAACTCACAGTTTGGTCACCGCGATGCTCTTCTAAACACAGAAACTGGTATATTATATCTATCATGGCAAAACAGAAAAGTCCAGTTTACCAAAGGTAAAGCTGAGGTCAAAATTCCCATCTAATAATTCTACTAGAAGCGTTTTGCTTCTGTTTTCTGTTTATGAGTTAATTAAGAGCTATAACTATTTTTCTCCATATATATTTAAGTAGTGATGCTTTTGTGATTCAGTTTCTAAGAATAATTACTTGTGAGCCATTTGTTGTGTACTTGAAATTCAAAACCGGAATCATATTGAATTGAAGTTATGTTAACACTGCTGTTTTTGCTTGATTGGAAATGTGAATTATGTTAGTGAACTCACTTTACATGACTATTCTCTCTATTAGCTTAGTATTATCTATTTCCACAAAAAATCCTTTCAGAAAATGTCATATCTACAGATAGTGAAGACATGTTACAAAGGGAAAACACAGACATTGCTGAAGACAATGCATTTCTTAAAACAAGTATATGTTATTATCTCAAAGTTTTATTTTTTCAGCTGCTGTTTAACCAATGCTTCACACAATTCTAGTTACAGATGCATGATTCCAAAAGCATCTGAAAATAAAAAGAGAAAAAGGGACAACCAGCAGCAGAAACATTTTTTTTTTTTTTAATACCTCGCATATCAACATTTCATTTCAGCATTATAAAACTATGATTCGCATCTTGTGGCTAATTTGATATTTTTAAATGTTTCTTCAGATTTTGGTTCATGTCTTCCCATGTCAAGAAAGCAGGTACTCAGCAAATAGACACTTCTGAATGAAGATTGGTATTAATTCCCTCTCTACATTCTTTCTGGGATCAAAAGATGGACTTCAGCCACTCTGTTCAGTTCCAGACTTCTAAGTTTGGAAGGAGATCACACTTTTTACTGTAATATGAAGTTGATGACATTCATATTGTAATCCATTAGAGGCTGAGTTGAACCATCAAATTCATTTTGAATGTAATCCCAAGCACTTCAAATCCAGTTCTCTATAAGGGAAATTTAAATACATTAAGTCAGTCAAGATCTGCAGCTCTTCATGTGTTGTTAAGAGATCTGAAAAAAAAAAAAAAAATTATTAGAGAGAACATATGACATTTTTGCCAGTTAAGAACAAATTTGAATAGCTAATTGAAATGTATTACAGCTATTTCGTAAGTTTTTGCAGTTCTTCACTTTACATAACATACAAAAAACAGTCAGATTTTTTTCTTTGCTCCTATTGATTTTCTTTTTTTTTCTGCAAACACACCGGCTCTTAGTTAACATTTTACATTAGTATCCCTAATTACACTGTTCTGATCAGCATGTAATTATACTGTGTATAAATGCAAATATGATTTTCTGACATTTAACTTTGTGCACCACTGAAGTTAAAGCAGCTATTTATTTACAATAGCATGGCACACATTATGCCAGGAAAACTAAATCACACTCAGGTTCAAATGTTAACAATGGATTAGAAATATTCATTAAATGTGCAGGAACGGAGGGTAGTTAAGGTGGTACTGTATACTCCTTCAACAGTAAATGCAGGAAATACTGCTTAATGATTGTGAGACAATAATTTAGACATAATTTAAATGTCCAAACTTAAGATCTCCCAAGGCATAAGAACCTGAATGGTTAATAGGGTGATTATTATTAACAGCTTGCTATTATGAATGCTGGAGGTTCATTTAGAACATGTGAAGGTCACTGAAATTCAGAACTACATATACTTGTTAAAATAGCTTTTTTGTCACTATACCATATTTAAGAGTATTTTTATCCTACTCCAAATGTCTACCAGTACTAGATTTATGATCTGGAAGTCCCAGGATTCTCGAAGCCATCTACAAAAAAACCCCAGAGTTTAAGCATAAATCACCTGTAAATCAGCAGCATATTTGTGTTCATGTTTTCCCTGTTTCTTTGGATTTCAGCTGCGCTGAGTTTTTAAGCATATTTGAAGAGTTTTTAAGGATGTATTTTTTTTTAATTTTACTCACCTTTTGTGTCAGTCTGATTTATTTAAATCTAGATGCCCCCTTTTGATTCACCAACCCATAATTCTGATGAAATCAAGGGTCATAATCCTGACTATTTGTCTCCACTTACTGGGAAAAACAAACAAACAAACAAACAAACAAAAAACAACAAACAAACAAGCAGAAAACAAACAGAAAAACAGTGAAAAAACCTGCCTGATGGTTTCATATAGATGAAAACTGGCACCACTTTTCTAGCCTATCTAGAGTGGATGTTCAAGATGAAACAGAGAAGTGCAAAAGGGGTGAGTCACTGCATTGTGTGGGATATTGTTATGTTAATTTTCTGCCTTCATACACCAGAAATTTGATTGAGAAGTTAGCTTCAGTGACACCAGATACTCCAAAAAGATGTAAAGTACATCTAATTCCTCCTTTCTGCTCTCATCTTTACAATGAGAAGAGAACATGTATTAGAATTGAGTTCAAAAGTAGTAGCTACAGCCCTAATGTCCCTGAGTTCAACAAAGACTCCCAGAACTCTTAGTTCAATAAAAATTTGCACAAATAAAGCAGTTCACTCACATTTCAAACTGGACAACAGTCTTTAATGTATAACTCCCTAAGGAGGTTTCCCTTTTGCAGTCTCCCAGCCTCTATGGCACCATGAAAAGTTTTGGTGCCTTATGAAAGATCACTATTTCTTTTATACAGTTCTTTAGAGCTAACTGTGTCTGTTGGTTTTTCAGAAAGTATTGAGCTGATCAGTAGGGAGAAACAGCAGCAATTGTGTCTATACCCAATGAATTAAAAGAATCCACAGAACTTTAACCTGTTCCGGAATTCAATCATCTCTTCCACTGAAATTGAGAACGTAGTCCCTTGAACAGTGTAGCTTGGGACATTTATGTTAGGTCCATATTTGGAAGTTAACAGAGACCTGGGGTTATTCTCAATAAGCAGTTTGACCATAGTCATCCAGTTTTAGAAAGTAAGAGCTTAGCAGCTCAGGCTCAGGCATTTCCAAGGCAGTTATCTTTTTTTCCAAAGAATAGTCAAACACAGCTTTAATTTTCTAGCAGATATATAGCTCATCTTGGGCTGTGACACTCTTAGTCAGAGGAAACTCTCTGAAAAGAGAGCGTTCATCTTCCCAAGGAGAAATGTAGAACACTGAGTTTGGAAAATATTATGGAGTACATGGAGAACCCAAAATAAACCGTAACAGCCAAATATGGCCCATCAAGTATGAGTACAGTTCCCAAGAAGAGCAGAGAAAAAGCATTTGGCAAAGTCTTGGAAATGGCAGAATGGGGCTTCTTCAGATGTTGTTTTTAAGGAAAAGGTGGAAGAAGATCAGCTTTATAACTGTCTTCACCTTGGGAGTTCCACCTTTTATGAATTAGTAGTAATTCTTTCTATAGACATAATTTATTTGTTTGTTTCTTTTTAATCTCTCAGAATGTAAGGCAGTCTAACTAGTAATATTAATTACAGCATTAGGTGACTCTCTCATTCTCATAACTGTCATTTCAGTGATATAACTTAAATTAAGACCTTTATTACCTTAATATTTCTCATTTATCACAGACTGCTATGCAAACATACAAGCAGAAGGCAGAAACAGAACAGAAGGCAGAAACAAATCGTGCCAGCAAATTCTTCTAAGATCTTTTCCCAAAACTGACTTTTTTTTACTAAAAAAGCCTTAAGGAAATTAGTTGAAATTGCCGAATATCTGCATGAGACTTTCCCAGCTTCAATATTAAACAGGAAAGCAAAACCATTCCTTTTATAATCCCATACAGAAAAGTATCAAGAGATACCAATTGTGCAACTATTTTTGGAAGGCAAGAATCTGATACTTTTTGTCATGGTGAGGTGCCATTTTAGGGACAGATTTTTCAATTGCAATATGTACTTTCAAGGTATTTGGAATCCACCTGCCCTCCTTATAGAGTCAAACAGCAGCATGAGAAATATTAGAGAGGCAATCCAAAAATTCACCTCCTGAGCTAGCTGCTGACCTAAAGGAAATATTGGAGGCCTGGACAAGGGTAGGATCTGAGATTCCACTTCTTTCTGGAAATGTCTTTCAGGATCTGAATCCCAGAAGCCTCTTCAGAAGTTGCCACACAGTGCCCAGAGCAAAAGAATAACCTCATGGCCTGCTAAGAGTGCTTGTTTAGGAAATGGCATTCTCTTTAACTTCTATATCTTGTCCCAGGTATTTTTTTATTACTTTTATATTCAAAGTTAAATTTATAAAATGTCTTAACATTCTTGGTAGCTGAGAGCAAACCCCATGACTTTAAGGCTGGGTTATAAGGCTTTAAGTCTTTGCTTTCTCATGATTCTTGCAAGTTTTTTAATTTTGCTATCTAGTGCAATGAATCTTTTAAAATGTCTTTGTATTTTCCAGAGTGGCATTATTTTATCACTTTTACCTATTCCTTTTTCCAGCAATTTCTGTTGCATGCTGTCCTATGTTTGGTACTGAGGAATCTCCTCAGGTGGTTGGAGTATACAGTTTTATAACCATTCTGGCTCAAGAAAATATTAATCCATTACATGAGAAACAGGAGCAACCACCACAGTTATGTTTTCCTTGCTTTTAAAGAAATGGCCCCTGTTAAATTTCTGTGGGAAGCCCATATCTGTTGGTCCATGGTAGGTATGTCTGGGAGTTCCTTCTGGATTTGTTCCCTCTGTCAAAAGATCACACAAGGTGGAATTAATTTGACTAAATACAGGCTTCTTATGCTACCTAAGATGCATACTGCCAGCATGTATGTCAAAGAATTCCAGTAAGCCACATCTGTCTCTAGCACATAGGATTTATTTGGTCAAAGGAAGATGTCTACATCTGAATTGACCTTCAAAATCTCCCTTATATAGCCTCTTGGAAAAAACTGTTACTTTTGAAGCCTAATTCTAAGGTAGACATCTAGATCAGCTTAATAGATCATTTTAAACACATCCTGAGTGGGTTTGGGTTGTTATTTTTTTTTGTCCACGCAATTTATGTTTAAGAAGACATATCACAGGCTTCCTTATGCATCTCTACTATGTGCATGCCTACATCTGTAAGTGAGACAAAGTCCAGCCCTGGCTTCTGGAGCTGGTTCTTCATGAGGATGATACATGCCAAGGCTTGGATGTGTGTAGAAGAGCTCTAGTAATTGATAGAGTCAAGCCTAGAGGAACACGCACAAGTCAGGCAGCAACTGACCCAGATGGTTTCTGACAGTTCATGATTTCTGAGTTAGGGGACCTCAGGTTACCTAACTCTTGTAATAGCTACATAAGTCTTTCACTGTACATACCCTGTATATGCTCCCACAAAACCTGATTACAGAATCCATAAAGCTGGTATTTAGTACTAGACAACGCACAATTGATTTCATCTACCTCAAAGCAACATATTTTTGTGGAGGCTCTCTTGTATATTTGATTAAAGGTGTATTGCTGTTCATTTGCAAGATGATCTGAATTGCCTTCCTCTCTAAACAGCACTGAAGAAAGGAGGCTTTAGGAGTTACCAAGTCAGTACTCACTTTTAAATTTATTATTTGCAGATCGTGGAACCAGCAGATGTTGACAACTTTGTCAGAGACATTACAGGAAATCATGCAAAATTATAAAAGTTCTAAGTGATTTTACTGAAAGGAATAAATATATAATTAGAGTGATATTAACATTCAGATGTTCCAATTTTTTATTTCATAGCTATTATGACCTAGCTGTTTCTGGTTTACTTAGAGATACTTGAGTTCACAGACCATTGACCGAATGGCCTGCAACAGCCACTCAGAAATCATTATGCTCTTTTATGTTAAACTAGTTTACACATAAAGACATTAAAACACATTTCGATGTGGAATAGGGCCAGCTAGGGCCAGCAAAGATGGCTGAGATATATGGCAGAATTTACATGTAATAAAAACAAGCAAAAGGTTGAATTATTTAGTCAGTAAAAGAGAAATATTGAAAAGGAACTGAATCAGGTTATTGATACG